TGGTAGAAAATTACAAACGTAAAAAGTTTTTTATTTGGAATAGTAGAGAGCCAATTGGCGGGCCTGCAGGCTACATATGGCCCGAAAAGGTTCTGAGTGGCCCGTATTGAGATCTATGGCTTTTGGGTACATAAACAGATACATGTCAGTAAGATGTAAGCAAATATTAACAAGATAGAGATGTATGTATGTTGTCTTCTTTCGCACCGTACGTATCCAACCGTGCTAATCGGAGGTGGAGACTTCATTACGTCATGTGATAGAGCTTCTGCATACGTGACACTCTGACGTCACGTGGTCTGCCATCACGTGATAATTTTATCATGTAGCCCATCAGACAGTATAGTCGAAGGATCATGCTATTGTAAGCTAACCCAAGTGCACGTTAAACCTGGTTAAAAATTAGGAAACTTATCGGCGCTGCTGCCTGTGGACAGAAGGGAGGAGGGGGTTTTGATGAATGCACGGTCGGGGCCCCAAGTCCATGGAGCCAAGAGCTGGGACAGGACCCATGCCTCGGGTCTAGTTTAGAATGTTTATGGGAATATGCAGCAGCAGCAGTGGCTACTGGTTCATGGTTCTGACACCGTTATTAGCCCCCTGAGCCCCCGGGGCCGCCTCACGTTTCTCCATGTAAGGTCATTTGCAATTTCACAGAGTAGATTTGCATGAAATGGGTAAACTGAGATGGATCTGAATTTCACCCTGCATCCTCTGTGTCTAATAGAATAACAATTATATAGTACTACTCATATGTCTCTTCTTTCCATAGTATAATGATAAATAATCATTATTCTAGTTAGTCTCAGCTGGCTATGTAGCTGTAGTTGGTGTACTTGACTTGCAATGAGTGTTTAATTCCTTGTCTGGATTGCTTAAACTTATCATCCATCCAGGGTTTATATATTGAGTACAACTTTGTGGGAATTCGAGAGTGATCATCCTTTAAAGAGACTGTCCCACACCATAGGAACGTGGAATTTCTACCACTGGCCCAATGTTGGCAAGAGAGATGTGTCATGTGCCATTGCTTGTTTGGGCAGGGGGTTGACCGTTTGACTTGGGTTTGAACATTCATAACTGAAAAATTTGACACAAATGTACGACCCTGAAGTTTGCTGGTGCGTGCGTGTGTGTAATTAACGGATTATGCGCGTGCACACACACAGGGAGAAACACCTTCCAACTTCTTTCCTCGTCAGCGAGCCCATCGCCGAGTTGGCTCTGTGAGCCTGGATTAGCCGGCTTTGGCCTCCAGGCGTAGGTGCCCAAACATCAACTCAGCGCCTCTTCCCCAAGCCCCCACAGCCCTTTTAAGCGTCTGCCCGTTGATCTGCGGAGTGGAAGTGTGTGGGCGTATAATCTGATGTCATTCATACGGGGCTGTCTGCGTTTTGCTACAATTTGATATATTTCTTTTAAGCTCGGGGTATGAAAACAACGGCCGTAAAGATGTCTTAAGGCCTCTAATATCCTGGCGCGAGTCGCACCGTGTTTTGAATATACGCGTCTGTCTTCCGTGAAATACAACATGGAATGCCTGTTGCGGCATTCCTTTGCCCAAGGTCATTGTTGCAGACGCTGTAAGCACAACAAAGCTTATTATGGTCTCGTGAGAGACAGACAGACTCCAGGAGTTGCTACATTTGGATGAGATGTGAAAATGAGATCCTGTCTGCGCTACGGATATTAAAGAGTCTGTCTCTCTTGGATAAGAGAGGGGGATTACTTTGGCATGCCGGCTTAAGGACTGCTACAGCTCAATAAATATACAAAAATAATAGGCCTGGCGAAATTCATCACTGCGAGATTATAAATAATTGTTGGGATGGTTATACGTGCCTATTTGGAATGTTTGGCATATTACTCGTGGATTACAGTGCAATGTAATAGATTTTCATGCTCACCGATTCTCATTGCACTCTTTGAGCAGAGTGTTACAATGGCATTGTATTCTAGATTTGAAGCTTTCGTGACTGCAAGGATTCATATTCTTAGGTTTTTTCGGTAAAGTCACGTAGGTAAAACATCTAAATTAATGAAAATAAAATGAAATAAAAATCACGACGTTTCGGAGGCAACACAAGTCTCCGTCAGCAGGTGGGACCGTCACAGCCGGATTAGCTGCATCAAGTGAGGCATTACATCTTGAATCATTGCCTCACTTGATGCAGCTAATCCGGCTGTGACGGTCCCACCTGATGACGGAGACTTGTGTTGCCTCCGAAACGTCGTGATTTTTATTTTATTTTATTTTCATTAATTTTGATGTTTTACCTACGTGACTTTACCGAAAAAACCTAAGAATATGAAAAATGGCATTGTAGCTTTACAGTTCAGATTCTCGCTCGTATATCTAGCTCTCTACCATCCACCAACCCCGCATCCAAAATGCTGGGTTGCTGGTGTGCATCTCCAAATCTAGCGGCGGGAATTATCAAAGCAACCAAATCGTTGACCAGCAAGTGTGGCGAATAATGCTTTGCTGTTCACCTCCGCCATAACTGTGCTTACCTCTTTCCACGCGGAAGGCGCAATGTAAATGTCCCGCTGGCGACGGGACAAATCCACGTGCCGCGATTGTTCCGTCACTCATCGAGTGACCCTGATGGGAATGGAAATTTCAACATGACAAGAGAAACGGAATCGCGGTAATAATAATTATCAAGTTGACCGCCGGAGTTATTTTATTGCAGTAATACTGCGGCGATCGGCGCAGCCCCGTGGTAACCTTTCTAAAACAATATGCAGCCGCAATTGAGGCCCAGAATTTATCTTCACCATTCGGAATGCCAGCCCTCTGATGGACAGTCTTCATTTGGCATTTGCGGTGTGCTACTGAAAGAGTTCAGTTAAAGTCATTGTTTTTCAAAGGCCACAGAGAGTGTCCGTGCACAATAGTGACATTTTCAATTATTGGCTTGTGAGCCATACATATATTTCCTTAAGAACATGCTGGGTGTTTTTTTTTATTTGAGAGAGCCATACACTCTTCTGTTTCCTTCGCCCCCTACGGTTAAATGGAACGTTCCAATTTAAACATCTGCACATCTAAGGTCCAAACTGTGCACTAATCTGAGCCATTCCGCTGTAGGGTGTTAAAAAAAAAGACATGTGCCTATGACTAAATCACCTTGAATTCGCCCGATCTTGGCAGTTCTCAGAAGCCAAGCTGTACTGACCCCGTATAGTGTTTGGATGGGCAACTACCATGCACGACAGGCTGTTGTAGTCTTTGGGTCTACGTGGTGCGGAACAAAAGGCAGTGAAGCAAAATTAACGGTTGTATTATATTTCGATTTAAAGCTTTCGTGACTGCAGGGATTCATCTTCTTGGTTATTTCCGTAAAGTCACGTAGAAGGGAAATAATAAAATAATAAAAATAAAACATAATAAAATAATTCTCACGATGTTTCGGCCACAACGCAAGCAGCCGTCCTCAGGTGAAGAACACGCCAAGCCTGGTGGTGTTTCATTCGGACACTGTCTTTCCGACAGACCTGTTCTTCACCTGAGGACGGCTGCTTGCGTTGTGGCTGAAACGTCGTGAGAATTATTTTATTATGTTTTATTTTTATTATTTTACTATTTCCCTTCTACGTGACATTACCGAAAGAACCAAGAAGGTTGTATTATACTTCCGTACTCCCGTCTATGATCCCCACCATCAGCCCGAACTGCCCAGCACGGTGAAGGTGTTGGTCAAGTGATCCCCCACGGTGTGGCAAGTTACTCATCCAGTGGTGGGACCGTGCATGAGCGCACATGTTACGTATTAGCTATGTGCAATACGCTTGGAGATTAGGATATTGTCTGGTGTGGGCTTGGCCGTCTGTAATCCAGCACAGCATTTCAGGTTCGGTGGGATCGCGCAGATATATCGTCATGCCTCTTTGAGACACCCAACCTGCAGGACTAGAAATTCACCAGTCGATGGCAGTACAGGCAAGTAGGTTTATCTGACCTTTCCCGTGCCGTTTTTGGGTCGTTATCTCATGTGCATGGGTTTCATCCGCATTGTTTTTATACTTTCTATCTTAGCACAGAATACTCTCTTTGTGTTGCAGCGATGATGAAATTGTGATCGTTGAGACAAAAGTCCTTTTGTATGTGCGCAGATGCTCGAGCCAATCCATCCTTCAAATGTGTACTTGTAATTCAAAGCACAGCGCAAATGTTCAAGTGTCCCAGTCCAGTCCAGCAGTAGTGACCATAATAACAGAAGTCATTGCAGCCGTTTCACTCGCAGTGTATTGGCAGTTGTTAAAACTACAACGGTTAGAAACTTCAACTCTGTGTTTATTTGTACATGTGCATGCATATGTATATATGCGTGTGTGATGTGGAGCGGTAGTGTAGCGGTTAACGCGCTGTGCTACGAACCCGACGACGGGAGTTCGATTCCCGCTCACGGCCAACACAAGTGACAATTATCTGAACTGGTCCTGGGCCCTCCCCTAGGTTGACTCAGCCTGAAATAAGTACCTGGTGCGCGAGACAAAGGCGGCCGCACGTGGCGCCGGCCACCCACCTCCTCGTGTGCCGTTGAGGCCTTCATAGGTGCTCGCTAACAGCACTTGCCCCAACAGTATTTAAGGGCTATACGGGGAATCTTTGTCTTTGTAATGATCTGCATTTTTATGTTGACGTGTGTGTGCCTCTGTATAGGTGTGTGTGCATGCATATTTATTCATTTGTGTGTATATGTCTGTGGAGAGTAGCAGTGCTATGGTTAGCACGGTGCATCACGATTCCCTCTCAAGGCCAATACCTGTAGCGATTATCTGAACCAGCCCTAGGCATCCTCTAGGTCGACTTAGCCTAAAATTAGGACCTGGTACTGACCCACCCACCGCCTCGTGTGCCGTGCTGGCCTTCATAGGGGCTCGCTTCACAGCATTTCCCCCAACGGTCTGTTAATGCTATACGGGGGATCTTTTTGGGTGTGTGTCCACATTTCTGTATTAATTTGTGCGTATGTGTGTGTCTCTCTCCAAAGGGAATACTTTGTTTGGAGAAGTGGAGGCGTCGTGGGACTTCTTAACCGGAGCGGTGGATCCAGAAAATCCATCTCCTGTGATCACGCTCTTCACCAAGTGAACCCAGATCACTTACCCCAGATCACTTTCTGGAATTTGCTTCATTTGACAAAAGAAAAAGCATTATTCAGGTGACTGGCAGCTCGGCTCGGGAGCGGGGGGGGGGGGTGCTAATGCACGTATTGTAGAACGGAATCAGAGCCGCCTAGATCCTGCGCTTAAATTCCACGCTCCCACCTTAGATTAAGGCAGCTTCTCAAGTGCAGCTGTCGCCAATGACTCCACCAAATAAAGAACTGCATAGAACTTCGCTTCGCACTTGATTTGGCTTCACCCAACAACCATGAGGATGTTTGTCCGGCAGACCCGCGTCGTTAAACCACTCGCTCATCGCTTCAGCTGAAGAATGTGCCCTAGAAGTCACGGTGAGTTTGACCTTTTTGAAGGATGCCAGAAGGCCCTGTGTGATATCACATCCGGGTACTTCCCCCAGTGCGATGTGAGGCTCCGCTGCGTTCTGGAGGTTTTTGGTAAGTCAAAATACGTTTCTGCCCTGTGCCAACATATGCCGTAGCATGATTGGGTTAAATTGGACTCGTATAACAGTAACATTTCAAGACAATGATACATTATTGCATACGTTTGTTGGTGCTTTAATTCTATAATAATCACAATATGCCTGAGCGGTGGTGGGCTGACCACTAGGCCTGTTGGTGTGGGATCACCGATGCGATGTCTGTTGCCGTCCTGCAACAACGAGAGACGTTCACGACACGTGTTGGCCGTATAGCGGATGTTATTAAAGGAGCCTGTGGTATTGGTAGAAAAAGGTGGCCGTTGTATATTGATAACAAATCGCACGCAAATCAACTTAATTAATCCGAATAGTTGTAAGATTAATAATTTTTTAAGCGTTTTTTTCCTTTGTATATTGTAGCAAAACATGCGTGCATATGCATATACGTCAAGGCCACCAAAACGTTTTAAGACTGCATTGAAATAAAAAAAAAACATTAAGCGGCTTGCAAAATATCACAACAACACGGCTTGCAAGTTATGTTTTATATATATATTTACAAAATACTACCGTACACTGGTAAATGCATATTCGAATTGTCAAGTACTGTGTGAGGAAAGGAGGTTTGCCTTTACTTGAAAATCACTTGAACTGAATTGGACAACATTCTCTTCCGATGTAACTGCTCCAGACCCCAGGTCTCCCTTCCAATCGAGATAAGGGCTCTCAATGGGCTGTCACCGTGTTAACTAAAGGGCAGCGTGGGTTCAATTTTTGGCCTAGGATGACAAATGGGAGAGTGAATGAAATACTTGCTAATCCAATTCTAACGGCAAGCGGCAAAGATACACATTAGGAAGGACCACTTCTCGTGTGCCTTTCTAGATCACCACCCATTATTTTCGGTGACAATTCTAGTTAGAAGGGCAATCTCTTTTTTTGCTGCAAATTCAATTCTTGCCGCTGCAATGCAGCAAGATGACATTCCGTAGCTGTTTGCAAATGCGCTTGGCGATTTAATGCAGTCACTTCACCGTTTTTATCACGCATGTAATCGTCTTGTATAGATGTGTGTTTCTGCCCCGTCGGGCCTTTTTTAAATGTTTTTTTTTAATAAACGTTGCTTCTGTTTCACACGTAGCAGGCTGCTGTTGTTTATGCGACGTTGAAAAAGTGAACTCGGTTTTATACGGATGGACGATGTAAAGTTTGAAGTTTGCGTTCATTACTGCCCAGAGATATGTGCCTTGTCGAGATGGCAGGAACGTTGCTTCGTCCAGGGTTCTGCAACCAAAATAACAAGAAGAGCCATTTTCGAATTCTGTAAAAAAAACTATTTCAAGAGCCGCGATAAAAGTTAATGCGAATCGGTGGGGTCCTTAATACATAACATCACAAAGCAGTCCTGAAAGAGCCGCATGCGGCTCTGGAGATGCAGCTTGATGGTCTAAGCCCCTGGCTAAGACCGTTTGTCCCACTGATGGTCACGGAGACATCGGAACATGTTCTCCGCTGTATAAAAATAGACGCTCCCCAACATAAGTAAGTGCTGTCGTTCATTGATGATTACCCCTTTAAGTTACCTAACAACATGGTGTGTATTTGGTCAAGTGAGGCTCTAGTGGGAAGCAGAGTACCGCTCCACGTTTACGTGACAAACCTTACTTATTGGCCGTGTCGTGTGGTGGCGGATTTAACGACGTGATATAACCCAAAAACCTCATGGATATAATTGGTCACGAAAGCCTGTGTTTTAACGTACAGTACTGTGTTCCCAAGTCTATGCTCTTGACCTTCACCAACCCACACTGACCGGTGTGGTGAAACACTTTCAAATAACTTCCACGATTTTCGGTCGAAGGGCAATCTCTCTTTACTGAAAGTGCAATTCCTGCCGCTGCAATGAAACAGAATTACAATACGTGGCTGGTTTCACATGTTCTTTCTAGATTTGAAGCTTTCGTGACTGCAAGGATTCATACTCTGTTTTTTTTGGTAAAGTCATGTAGGTAAAAAAATAAAATAAATTAAAACAACTAAATTAAATAACTAATTTAGTTGTTTCATTTATTTTATTAAATCACTAATTTAGTTTTCATTTATTAAATTTTATTGATTGTTTTACCTACGTGGTTTCACATGCTCTTGAGGATTTAATGCAGTCTCTTCGCCATCATTTTCACATGTATGTTATTGACTTGTATGGCTTTGGGAGGCCGTCATCCAGCAGTGGGTTGATAAAAGGACTGAACACGTGCCAGTCTTACTACATGCGTGTGACCGCAATTTGGACGGTGGGCTGGTGGGTCACGCCAAGGTGTGAAATGCCAACCTGCTTTGGGCGATGAGGTGTGTTTTTGGAGGCAGTACGGTAAATGTGCTGCTGACCGATTTTGTGCAAAGTTTAAACATTCCTCACTCATTTACTCCCACTCGAGGCAAACATTCTCGCGAAGACTGATCAATAATCTCAAATGGGACCCTCCTGAAAGTGATTTCTGAGACTCGGTGAGGCTATCTTGGGTGGAAACAAATAAAATACTTCTTCCTTCAATGTTATCCCGGATTGGGATACCGGCGTCACGTCACGAAACACGAAGTATCCTCTTTGGTGTCGCAGAAGCGTTGTTTGAACCCTCTGTGCTTGAGCACACCCCACAGAAGTGGATATCACAGAGCTGGCTCTGAGATCCTTTCTGTCAAGTGACCAGTGAGCCACACGCAGCAGAGGGACAGCACTTTCCCACCCGTTCTGCGTATGCGAGTGAGGTTCGTCAAACCCATACTTGAATTCTCAAGAGCTGGAATTCGAACCAAAAATTGAGCGCTCAGCCAAATTAACGAAACGACGCACGCGTAGAAATTGCAAATCGCGCAGCAAAACTCTTCAGTCTCGAACTCAACCGCCAACAGGGATGACGAGGCGAGGCTTGGTCGGAATGCGCGAGTGCTTGAAGCGCTCGGACGGAGTTCTACGCGGCCGCCGTCTTGTTTCTGCAGGCAATCAATAACTGTCAATTACAACAATTAATCCCTTGACACGAGTGCCATGGGAACGGCTAAGCGAGTGCCGAGGGAACGCGATGCACGCGAACAGGCAGCTTGTAAAACCTTAATATGGGGGGGGGGGTTATTTTTTTGTCTAGATCGTGTAAATGTGTCGTTAATCCCGCCACCACCCGACACGGCCAATTAGTAAGGTTTGTCACGTAAACGGAACATGCCAATTTGTTACTAGTACAGCACACCGGTGTGTTTGGAAAGCAAATCCTTTCGCCAGTAATTACAACTCGCATCATCAGGTGGACAGTCAATTCTATTTACGCGATCTAACCCAAACTAAAAAACCCCTATATTATGGATGATATTGGTCGCGAAAGCCTCCTCCGTGTTTAACTTGTAGAACCTTCCGTGCGACGACACTCGCAACCGAGCCGCTTAGAGGACTTGACAAGATCCACTGCCACTTTGTGTTTTATTTTTTACTGAGCGGCGGCGGCAAGGAGGAAGGGGGGAGGAGGAGAATTGCCGCTTCGGGGCCCAGCAAGGGGCACGCACCTCCGATTGAACAGCGGGGAGCAGCCCCCTTTCTCGCAAAAGGCAATTTTCACAATAACAAGGGGCGGGTTGCCATCGGTTCAAACAAGCGGGGGCAGTCGGCTGGGAGAAAGTAAAGAAACGCGCCGTGGCCAGGACCGGATTAAGGCGTGGGGGCTTCAGGGTTTGCAGCCCAGGAGCCTCCACCAGCTGGAGGGCCCTCCAGGGATGAAGTTAAAAGTTATTTCACTTGTGAATGCTGAATTTTATTTGTTGTTAGCCTTGTAAAATAAAATATTTTTATTTAACTTTGTTTTCCTTTTGAAAATATTGTAAAGGAGAGCCGACACAAGGTTGCAGGGGTTTCGTGTTTTAATCCTTTTCTCCCATCCACACCTGTCCCCAGCCGTCCCAATCTCGTTCCCTGCCAAAGGCCCCCTCTTCCCGCCCGTTCTCCCCTTATATCTCCTCGATCACCCCTCCCACTAACCCTCCTATTGGTGGGGATCCTTCCCCTGACACCCCTACAATATTATTGGGGACCTCAGTACCTGGAGCCCAGGGGCCTACAAAATCTCAATCAGGTTTTCCCTTCAGGCCGAGCGATCCGCGACAGATGGGTCGGTGTGGCCTGGAACCCTCCGCTGCCTCCTGAATCTCTTCGCCTTGGATCAGACTCCGGTGGCGTTCCGCCGTGGCGAGATGTGAACTCCCTCGGCCTGGTATGCAGGAGAGGTGGGCCGTGGGTTCGATCCCGAAGCCTGGGAGTCCGTATATTTGGAGTGTGTACGTTGTTTCTCGCCGTGGTCTCAAAACGTTTTTCTCCGGGTCCTCCGGTTTTTTCCCCCTTCCACGTTTAGAATCAACATCACGCGTTTCAAAGTATCTGGCTGCTATAAATGTCCACACGACGAAGCCACTTCGTTGAGCTATCATTTGTGGCCAGGTCGCTTCTGAAAAAGGAGCTACACAGCTTAGTGTGCCTTACCTGGTAGATGTTTTTTTTGATGTATAGATTCGCCCCTTTGCAGGTGAAGGTGTGGCAAGTGCAATTAGCAGCGAGCGTGCCGAGATGCCCATCCGTTGTGCTGTCTCCACGTCTTCGCTTGACGACACCAAGTGGAATGTGTGGCGAATACGGTTGGCATAAGCTGGTTGTTCACGTTGCCTGTCTGTGGGCGACCTTCCGAGAACGTTCAAACGACTTTCGCATACCCCAGTGCCTTAAATCGCTGTAGATATCACTTGCCGATGGGCATAACTGATCAATATACACGTGTGTCTGTACAAACCTTTGTCAATGCACGACTGGATGAAGCCCTCTGGAAACTGTGCGGCTTGTGTAGGTTCCTCGACGATGCTTCAGAATGTGGGGAGCATGTAAGTAGAGTACAACAATGGACGTTGCTGCACTCCCCTCAACTGCCCAACACCGTAGCCTATAACAACTTGTTTCGCTAGGTTATCATTAATCCAAGCACTGTCCAGGCTCAATCCCCATACTTAGCTTCTGAGATACGATTGTAGTAAGCGCATTCCGAGCGATTTGGCCATGGCCGATGATACTAACCCCAGCGTGAATGTGTTTCTGAATGCTAAACCAATTTTAATGTGGAGTCAGATTGAAAGAGCATGGCGTGAGCAATAACATAACCCTCGACTTAAAGCTTTCGTGATTGCAGGAATTAATATTATTTGGGTCTTTCGGTAAAGCCACGTAGATATAAAAAAAAATATCACGACGTTTCGATCGCAACACAAGCAATCGTCATAAGGTGAAAAAATAGCGAGACAGCTGCTGAGGCAGGATGTTATAAAGGTTTTTGAGATGGGTGGGGCCCAAGGGTCATAAGCGAAGTGGGTGGGGCCATTGTATTTCTTCACCTGAAGACGATTGCTTGTATTGCGATCGAAACGTGATTTATTTTTTCTATCTACGTGGCTTTACTGAAAGACCCAAATAATAACAAAACCCTCGTTTGTAATTTTCATTGGATCCAAGTAGCCGTCACGGTTCATCGTTGCTTCATTCTATGAGAGCCTTCGGAGGCTGCAGCACAGAGGTCAGAACGTCACACTTTAAGGGTGTCCTACCAAGGTCTCCTGGATCTTGAACCAAAACGTGGGGGGGGGGGGGGGAGGGCAACATTGTAGAATGAGTGACCTCCCCCACTCAGCAAAGTGGGAGCTTGAACATAGCCTCGAGTCTTGACGCTCAATAATACTCATGAATTCGCAAAAATAAGTCTTCACCGGCCCGTGTGTTGCATTTTACTGATTACAGACAGAGGCAGCACGAGGTCAGAACGTCAGATTTGAAAATGCACTCGGCAGAAAGCAAAGCAGACCGAAATGGAAATATTGTCGCACTCTTTTGCGAAATGTTCAACTGCGCCGCGGCTGTGCACGTGCCTTCCGTCGTCGCTACGAGGAGCGTCTTTGGCCGGCGACCGCACGGACAAGAGCCGGGGGAAATTATTGTTTTACATTTCATCATTTTTCTTTTATTGCAAAGTGGGTTCCCTGCTGCTGCGGACCAATTTCCACATTTCCCTTTCGGAGGAACGCGTCGTCACGGTTTAATGGTCGCCTCCACACCCCCTTACAGGCGTCCGACTGCCCACCTTTGTTTTGCAATTGTGCTTCGAATATAAACTGTTATTTGTGAATTATGACCGGATTGTGGTCAGTTGAGGAACCACCGCAATTACGTACTGGCACATTACGGCCAATTGTGCCCACGTGGTCCAGGATATAAAACGAAATGGGTTCAAAGAATATGTAATTACATTCTTATTTATTATTAACAATGAATGAATTAAACGTATCTGCCTGCATGCTGTAATTTTTTTGTCGGCATAGTTGTCAATATCTTGGTAGGAAACCCATGCCTATGTATGGTAGATCTAATTAAAAATAGCGTACTCAGAAAGGAATTTGTCCTCACATCGTAAAAAGAGTCTTGCGTCATCAGTCGGGCTTTGCTTGATAAGTAATGGAGCTGGGACGATTCATTGACAACTACTTTTTTGTGTAAGGTACTCGCGGGGCCCCTTTTAATGTAGCAGCCGGGACATAACACCGCGTCCCCCCGACAAGCCACGCCCAGCGGGACAGAGCTCACGATGCTGATGACCTCACGAAGCGCCGCCCACGACCTCCCGTCCAGCGGCACACGAGGGGACGGCGGTTAGACTTTTTTTTTAATCCTTTATATTAAGTTCGCTTGCTTGCTTGCTTGCGTGCTTGCGTGCTTGCTTGCTTGCTTACGACCGTCCAAATCTTTCGGTCGTTTTTTAACCCATTTCCCGTGATCCAATCGAGCTGACATTTTGCACACAGACTCGTTGTGCGAGACAATTAATGTTCGTGAAAATTTTTTTCAAAAATTTTACACTGTTTAGGGAAAACAAATTAAATATTTAATTACCAATTGCTTAATACTGGCAGACAATCATCTGACCCATAGGTGGCAGCCATCTCAAGCCAGAGGACGAGAGGACTCTAGCTGCCACGCATATAAAGGATTTAGAGTGAAAAACTTTGTTTTTACGGGTTATACTTGTTGCTATTTTCGTGTGATCCAATACTCGGAGAGTCTGGCTCTAATAAACAGTGACACCGGCGAGGTGACTCAGTGGTTCGAGCGAATGTGCGAGCAATCGAAGGGTTGCGATTTCACGTCCCGGTTCGGGGTTGACTCGGCTCGCGCTATATAAGCGTAGTGGGAACCACTTGGCTTCACGTGGGTTGGTGCCGCTGTGGCGAGATGTTAACTACCTCGCCTGGTATACAGGAGGTCGTGGGTTCCATCCCGATCCCGACACCTGCTGCTGTATATTTAGAGTTTGCGTGTCTCTCTCTCCCCGTGGTCACGTGGATTTTTCTCCGGTTCCTCCGGTTTTTTTTTTGGAGGTACTGAACCCCACCAGTTTCATATGCGCATTCACCGAACCCTTCTTAATTGGAAAAATTAAATATAATTTTTTCAAATTCAAAACATAGGTATATGTTTTACTGGTGCACAATCATATGAGTCGGGTGTGTGTCTTAACCTCCGCCGAACCCCTGGGGTTCGATCGAACCCAGGTTAAGAACCACTGGTTTAGAGAGTATTTGGCCGCTAGAAATATCCACATGATAAGCCACTTCGTTAAGCCGTTATTTGTGGCCAGGTCGCTTCTGAAAATGAGCTCACAGCTCAGTGGGTTTAACACGTCCGCAGGCTTTCACGACCAATATTAATCATAAGAGGTTTTTTGGTTAGATCGCGTAAGTATAAACGTGTCGAAACCTTCCACCACCCGACAAGGCCAATCAGTAAACAAAACGCCAAATAGTTACTACTTCAGCCCACCGGTGTGTTGAAGAGTGAATCCACAACATTAAAATTATTTTATGTATAGTTTAGTTTTGGTGCAGCGGCAAAAGTGTGAACACGCTATACCCGGCGTCGAGTGAAGACACAAATGAGAGGGACAATGTGGTCAGCGGTTACATTTTACTCCGCACGCTTGTACAACTCGTTTAAAATATACACAAGGAGAAAAAAATGTCAGTTAAAAGGCGCGAGACAAAAATAAATCCACAGTAAACAAAAAAAATGGGAGTCCCAACGTATATAAAGATCTTTTAATTCAACAAGTCGTATGCCTTGAACAAGAGCCTATGCCTAAGTATTTGGTATTGCATTATGTTTGTGGATACCTACAAGGTTTTATGCACTAGCATTACAGAATTTTTTTTTCATTATTTTTATTAAGTTCTAACTAAACAACAAAAATGTACACAATTATATATTTTTTTCAGTTATCGCAAGGTCAGTACTATAATTATATACCGGACCCTTGTAACAAACCAAAAAAAATCCCAATGAAAAATAAAAACGATAAGAACAAAAAAATGCCTTAACTTTTACATTTTTAAAAATCTGTTGTTTAAAGTTAAGTAAAAAAGTATGATCTCTTGTTCATTCATCTGATGAATACCGTAGGTGTGAGACGGATTATTCTGATCCATCGGAAGAAAAGAAAAAACCTTTTTTGTTTAAACTCCGTTTTGTCTTATTTTCTTTAAACGGTCACAGCGACGAGTGAGTGGTAACACCGGGTCGGTGTGGACGCGTGCGTGAATAAGCCCCCCCCCCCCCCCAAAAAAGGAAACTCTGCCGAGTGAAACCTTTGTGCCGTGATTTTTTTTTTGCCTGGTCAATATCAATATTTTTTTTGTATTTTTTTTTAAATCATTTTTTTAAGTCAATGTTTCTGCAATACAAAAACAAAGGAGAGAGCGAGAGAAGAAAAAAATAACTCAACCAGCAACAAGTGTAACCGTGTCATAACACAGAGTCCACTATACAATAAGCAGTGAAAGACGACACAATGATTCCTAATTATACTTTTTTTGTTTTTTTTTTTGCGCAAGATTTCATCCATAAAAAAGGCTCTATCAAACGCAATGATATTTTTTGTTTCCTTTACTTTCGTTTCCGTCACCCTAATGGTTATAGTACCGGTTATATACATTTTGGGGGGCGTGTGTGGATTTAGGTGCAGTTTTTCTTTCCTCCCAAGGCCCATAAATCCTTTTTTCCGTTAACCTCCCTTCATCCCCACATTCATTCCTGTTCCTCACCCCAGCGAGCCGGTTTCCTAAAGCCTGGTTTCCGCGACAAGCCGAGCAGCATCAGCCCACATTGTCCACGATACAAGAAGCGAGCCATCTTCACCATCGCATCGTCTCACCTCTCCTTTTAAAGGCGGCGGATTCGATATCATTTTTCTTCTTCTTCATTCAGGGGGCCAATTCGTGAATTCACGAAGCCGCCACACCGCGACATTGCCACGCAGCGTCCCAACGTCCCTCGCTCCGCACGGTGCCACGACGGTCGTTTCTGAACGTCACGGGGGCATCGCTGGGGGGTTCCAGTTTAAAGCCACCACGAGCACGCGGACGAATGGAAAATTATCTCCGGGGTCCAAACGTTTAAATTCAGGAAACCGGGGTGCAGGGGTGAGGGAACGTGCGATCGCCAACTCGCCACGCTCCCTTTCCAACCGCTACAAATCAGCCGAGAGATGTTAGACGCGGTGTGCTGCTGCTGCTGCCCGCTGCAGATGTTGCTGGCGGTCTCTATGCCGACATTCGGCATTTTCAGAGGTGCGCCGGGGGGGGGGGGGGGGTGCCGTGGCGAGCCGCGGCTCGAGACGACACGCGATCCGGCGCGCGCGTTTGGAAACGAGGCTTTCGACGCCTGCCGTGCACGACGCGGTCGACAAAGCGAGCGCCGGGTCGGACCCCCCCTCCCCTTCCCTTCCCCGCCGAGAGCTTCACGCCACCGTCGCGGCCGTCACGAAATAGAGACACCGCGCGTCGGATGCGCTGTTAAAAATAGATGGTGAACAGACAAGAATAACGATGACTTGGTGATATGCTGGACAGCGGCAGATAATTGCCAACTCATGACTCCCAAACCTTTGGCACGGGTGGTCCGGCGTAGGATTTTTTTTATTTTTTTTTACGAAACGTGGCCCGATTGTATGGGCGCATGCACCGTTACCACCAATTAACCCGCCGAGCAACCGTTCTGAAAACGAGACCCTAATGGGATGGCGGTTCAAAGGGCGGGGGGGTGGGTCGGGGGCGGGGGAGGAAACGAGCTGACGTTCTATGCCAGAGAGAGAAAGAGAACAGCTTTGGTCAGCGTGTGCAAGGGCTGTAAAAACATTGAAGAACGGCAATGAAATGAACTACCTGCGAGAGTGGCGCCGACGCAAGATGGTCCCAAATCGCAATTCAAGGACTAACAACGTTCAAATCCTGGCCGAGGGTCAACTTGGCAGAACGTGCCCCTGGGGGAATCGGAAAATTGAGGACCATTTTTCGTGGGGAGATCAACAATGGACGATCAATGGACAGACTCACCCCTGGGCATGAAAATATGGAGTTTCCACCACCGGTTCACATCCATGAATAGAAATGAGCTTTGAACTGCACGCTCTTTTGAGCAGGGAAACTCTCGTTGATTTATTTCAAATGCATGAAACGTCGCTTATAAGTTGAGAAATTAGTTGAGCAATTGGAACGACACTACGAGTGACAAGGAGAGGATTGAGCCGTGTTTGTCTTGGGCTGTCCACTGCACGTGCAGGACTATAATCTGACCTTAGCTTTGTTTGTGATATAACCACTCCGGGAGTCACACGCCCTTTTCTAACAGGCCACATTTTTTAATCCTTTATATTAAGTTCGCTTGCTTGCTTGCGTGCTTGCTTGCTTACGACCGTCCAAATCTTTTGGTCGTTTTTTAACCCACTTCCCGCGATCCAATCGAGCTGGCATTTTGCACAATTAATGTTTGTGAAAATTTTTTTCCAAAATTTTACACTGTTTAGGGAAAACAAATTAAATATTTAATTACCAATTGCTTAATACTGGCAGACAATCATCTGACCCATAGGTGGCAGCCATCTCAAGCCAGAGAACGAGATGACTCTAGCCGCCACGCATATAAAGGATTTATAGTGAAAAACTTTGTTTTTACGGGTTATACTTATTAAATATCTCATCATCGTAAGAGATCAGGTCCGGTGGAATTGTCTACTTAGCATCGAAACGCCTCTGAGTTTGTTAACAGAGCACGACGTAGTTTTCCAAAGGAGTCAACGTTTATTTATTTATGTTCCCTTAGCCTTGGGGGGGGGGGGGGTGTCAATTTATACGAATGCAGTACTAAAATATCCCGCACTAAAATATCCCGCAAAAGTGTTTGTTGATTCTTATTACCTCAAATTGGTCGCATGCTTCCAGCTTGTAAATCAAATTGGGGAAAAATCGTCCACACACCCTTCAAGGCTTCGTGAATCTACCGCGCACAAAAGTAGACTGTAAATAAATATCCGATTGGAATTATATTCTCCCGAATATACTTTCTGGGTCACTCTCAAGTTTGGCTGTGTAGTATTGAGACTCAATCCTCAACGAACTGATCCCATAACCGTTGATAGACAGTGCACCAACTGAGCAAAGCGGGTCTTAAAACATCACTCTTTGAAAACAAGAATACACTCGTACGTTGGCCGAAATGCAGTTTCCACCAATATTTACATGGGAAACGGAACACAGCGTCGATAGTTCCCGTTCGTTCGAATTATTTCCACACAAAATTTCGGTGGAAATTGCCTTGCACCCCCCCCCCCCCCCCATCATGAGTTTTCCCCGCAAAGTGGAACTCGGAACACAGGAAAAGAGTCCGTAAACATCACAACAACCATCCCTCCGTCCGTAACACCGCAGGCAACACGAATGCAAAATGGTGTGGATTGAAGGGGAAGTCAACACACGTGAAGGGGCGGGTGTGTGATTAATGTCGCGAGGGGGTGCAATCAGAAAAAAGGTTTAATTTGTTCACTTTGAGTAAAAAGAAAAATATTTAAAAAAACAAAGATGATAATAAAGTCCAACAAGTGATCCAACACCACCACAGCTCTTGAGAAGACTTGTGTTTCAAGGCTAAAGAGAGTAGCCAGGGCTTAGCCCTTTGATTCGATGTCGCTGGTAAAGGCTTGAGTTGAGCTGATGAGATGTTACAACCACGATGGACGTTTGTTGCCTTTGGCCTGAATTCTCGAGGCTTTATCGTTGCACCATTTGGCATCAGTCTTGGTCTTACTTTGGCCTTGTTACACAAAGTCTGAGCCCAGGCCTCACACGCGCGGTGCCTGAACCGAGGCCTAATGCCCGGGGCGTTTTGCCCTCAAAGGTGAATTAACTCTTTGAGCCTCATTCTTAGAAACGCTGGCCTTGAAAAACAAGTTCTCACGTGGCGTATAAAGACGGCATCAAGTCCCACGAGAGATGGCGAGCTTCCACCCAAGCGTTACAGCACATTATAGATTTGAAGCTTTCGTGACTTGCAAGGATTCATCTTAGGTTTTTTCGGTAAAGTCACGTAGGTAAAAAAATAGCAATTAATAAAAGTAAAATAATTTTTTTTTTTTAAAACCACGACGTTTCGGAGGCAACACAAGCTTCCGCACGATAGCTGTATCACTTGATACAGCTATCGTGCTGTGACGGTTCCACCTGAAAACGGAAACTTGTGTTGCCTCTGAAACGTCGTGATTTTTTATTTTATTTTAATTTTACTTTTATTAATTTAAAATTTTTACCTACGTGACTTTACCGAAAAAACCTAAGAATACGTTACAGCACAGTTGCGTGCGACGTGATTTGGAATGCCACAGTTCTCCGGGGATAGAAGCAAGCCCCCCCCCGCCACCCACGCCTTTAGCATTTGCGTTCACGGCGCTTCTGCGGCCGTCTGGAACGCTCTTCCTTGCGATATTAAGAAGTCGCTGGAATTTCTGCACTCTTAAGTCAACATTGACAAACTCGTTTCTTTAGAACTTATTTTTGTTGTGTACTTAAGTTTGTTGTCCTTCCCTACTCCCCCCACCCACCCCTGCCCGCGAAAGAAGTTCAACGTACAGTACATACAAAGTTTTTTTGAGAGAAAAGGGGGAAAGACCAGGGCCTCGCGCGGGGTGGGAGGTTAAACTACCGCACGTCCGCAAAGTCACGCCCGAGATGAGTCTCCCAAATCGCTCATTTAAGTCACCTCAGCTGTAACCCTGATTAGTCGTGACAGAGAGAGAGAGAAGAGAGAGAGAGACGTGAAACAGATACGAGGAAAAAAACCACTCAGCAGTGTTGCGTGTACATTAAAGCTATACCTTGCCGCGCTGTTTGGAGGAGTTGTTAAACCGATGTCCAGATATTGTTGCAAAGAGGTAGTAAGTATCAGCATTTGTAAAAGACAGAGGAGGACTGACCTTTAATATTATTATCATCATCATCATCTTATTTTACTGATTTTTTTTTAAACTTATTTTTCAATGACCATTGGTTCTAAGATTAAGTCGCGTGAGGTATAATTGCTGCTATGTTAAATTGATGAAACGTTACAGCACAGGGCACTAAGGAAGCGAGAAAGTGATGCCCGATATTTTTTTCGGCAGAGGTCGCGCCGACGGCCCCGTGGATAGGGAACGGTGCCGGCACGCGCGCATCAAGACCCCCATCAAGACCCCCATGCAGATGAGGAAGAGAGAGAGAGACAAACAAAAACCCCAAAAACTTCACAAGAGGGGGGGGGGGGTAGGCCCGCGTCTCCCCCACCACCCCCCCCCGGCTCGATCGGCACAACAACGCTCGGCCGCTCGACACGTGGAGCCATAAAAACCGGGAGAGAGAGAGAGAGAAGAGAGAGAGGAGAGAGCTTTAAGCGCGGGGAAGAGAGAGGAGATCGAGAGAGAGGAGATGGAGAGAGACGGGGAAAAAAACGACCGCGAGCCAAACAGGTTTCACATGCGACGGTGTTCATCGGAATCGGTTTTTTTCTACACAAGCGACGACCAAGAAGTCCGGGGTTTAGCAGGAGGTGGGCGGAGGGGGGGGGGGGCACGGGAACTGGGGAGTTTTAACGCGCGACCGTCGGCTGTGACTTTAAGCTTCCGACGAACAGCCCCGGGCCCATCAAACTCCGCGTGCGGCAGCACGGCCCGTGTCGCGGGCGCGCCGTGAGACGAGGCCGACAAAGATGCTCGTGCGGACCGATGGGAGATTCCCTCCCCACACCCGCCACTCCACCACCACCCCCCTTCAGCCGCACCGCGAGGGATCGATCGACGCGGCGATGAATTCGGCTCCCTCGGGAGTCCCTCGGACAGCAAGCGGCGACGCTCTGCCCGATGGGGGGGAGGGGGGGGGCTGCCCGTCAGGAGTGTTCTGCACCGCGCCCGCTGTGCGCCGTTCCGAACGGCCGTCGTCAGAGGCGGCGTGCGTGCGTCTACGCTATTTACATTTACCTGAAAGAAGCCAAATCCCCATTCTTCGAATGCCGCTCAGCGTCGTTCGTTAGCGGCGGAGACGCGGCCGTGTCTTCTCCCCCTCCCAAAAACCCTGGGACCCTCTGGACCCCGTCGACCCCATCACACACCCTGTTTTTGTTTCATTCTCTGAAAATGGTCATCCACAAACCCGCTCGGAACCCGCTCGGAACCCGCTTCGGGGGCTCCCCCCCCCCCCCCCCAACAGATTTAGTTGCGGACGCGGGCGCGTTCGTCCCATCAGAGACCGATTCCGCGTTCTGCTTCGTCTCCCCAACCCACTCTGGGAGCGTCTCCGGCTTCTTGGGAGGAGCGCAAAACGAAATGCGCGACGACGACGACGACGAGCAGAGACATCAACCCAACTCACGACCACCACCACCGCCACCACCACCACCACCGCCACCACCACCGCCGCCTCCTCCGGCCGCGGAGCGCGCGCACGCAGCACAACAACGCCCACAGGACGACAACTGGCCAGTTGTTGACGTGCACCACTCGCGAATTCTGTCCTCCGGTGCTGCGACCGCGATTCTTGTCCATTCCATCGGGCCGTGGCCACGGGGTCCTCCTCTCTCTGGGTTTGTTTCTGCAGCTGCGGGTGTCCGTACATGAAAGAGGGATTTGGTGTTTTTTTGGGGGGTTGGGGTTTAATTGGAAACAAACGCAGATGAAGGATCGCGACCTAAAACAAAAATCTCGTTTCGTCTTGAATATATTCACCGTTGTTGTTGTTGAAGTTACGATGTGTTTAAAACAAAAAGGTAATGAGCCCTTCCTTCCTCATTGGAGTAGAACAGAAGCTTTAGGTAACGGCAACACTCCTCTAAGACACTCAATGTATCCGACTACATTTGAGATCGAAACCCGTGTGCATGCCCAACAAACGAATGCACGTGCAGACACAGACGTAATTGTGACGACAGTTATCACCGAACACACGTCAGCAATCCGAGGACAAGTAACACACCATTCACTTCCAGGAGCTTCGACGCAACAGTGCGCGAGCGTCGCCACGCTTGAGGTCACGGACTTGATGGCGCACGGAGGCAGCTGGGCAGATGCTCTTTGTAACCGATGACGAGTTGGCATCGTCCCTCTCCACCGAGGTGGAAATCCCCCCCCCCCAGCGGCCGTGGCCAAGAGGGGGGGGGGGAAACGCCCCATCGGTGCAACTCGGAAACGAGTTCACCTCGAAGCCCGCGTGATGTTCCGCATTCCGAACCGGAGGTCGGCACGGCTCTGATCGATCGCAATCTTGAGCGTCGTCGGCGCGAAACCGCCCAGCTGGCAACCGAACCTGGAGCCAAGACGTTCACCGCCCCCCCTCCCACACACACACCACCCCTCGACCTTCACTTTGTGTTTCTCGGCCTCGGTTTTGGGCGGTCTGCCCCGCGCCGACCGCCAAGAGCGACGGTCGGAAACGGACTTGGGGAACCGCGGATTCGCGAAACGCGCTTAAGGTACCAGGGACAGCTCCCCCCTCCCCTCCCACCTTCACCTCCCCCCCACTTCCTCTCACTCCTCGTCTCGGTCAAGTCGCTCTGCCTTGTGGAAGCCGCTCCGGCTGCGTGCGGTTGCTTGATTGTTTTACAGGACCCATGTTTTCATCGACGGACGCAGCGTCCTCCCGTCCCGCGCGATCGACATCGCTAGCGCGCAACGGTTCGGACGGGCACGGGAGCGCGATGCTTCGTCACCAGCTCGCTCGCTCTCGCTCTCTCTCGGAGATTTCTTTTCATAGCCGAAAAACACCTCTTGCTAAGTGCATGAGGTTCCATGCACGTGAATGCGGATGCACGACGAGGAGTTTTGATAATTGGCTGAATTAATTGCATCTGTTTGAACGGTTATCCAAATTGCGTTACGTCTACCTGGCTTATTGGACCTCACACTTGCAAGAAGACTTCCCGCAGCGCATTGCGTGTCACCTATTAAACTTCATTCAAAGCGTGTTAAACTCTCCGCAAGCTGTGTGATGGTTCTAACAGTTACCGCTCCGCGTGGAAGTCCCGCGGTTCATTTTGCGATAACTTTCACCGAAAACGTCGTGCTTGGAAATGACAAAACTTTGCAGAGAGAGAGAGAGAGCCAGATGAAAACGTTGTTCGGCAACTTCCCTTCGTCCTGTCCGCTGATAGCGGACGCGACGTGAAGTCGCGGTGAAATTAACGTGGCGCCATTCGGAACAGACCCGCGGGTGGTGGGGGCGGGGGACACGGGGGGTGCGGTGAGATTGGCACACTTTTACCGGAGCTCGGCAAATGGCTCTCTCAGCCCCTCCTGCCGCTGCTGGCTCTGCCGAAGGCCGAGCGATCCCGCCGGGCCTTTATCCGGCGCTCCGTCGGCGTTGTCAGCCGTTGTCCACCCCCCCCCACCCCCATCCTCCCGGCGTGGTGAGAGAGACGAGCTGGAGGCTTCTCCCCGCCGACGCGCGAGACGAAAAAATGGATTTTGGAAAAACGCAACTCGGTTCGTCGAAAGGAAGATTTTACAAACGAGTCCTCTCGCGGGGGACGCTCAAAACCTGGGAGCCCTAACTCTGAAAAGAAGTGAACGATGGTTCGGGGGGGGGGCCCTTGAGGTTTCACGGTCTAGGCTATTATTTAATATATTATACCGTACTGTATAATTGTGATTTCTTTATTTGTAATCTTGATAGCGATCAGCTTTGAGCTTCACATTTGCACAAATGTGCGATGACATTTACATTACCCGCCTCCCCTGCTCGCAGATGCCTCTTACTTGGGATTTCTGCGAGGGAGCAGAGCGCGCCCACGATCTGCGTCGGGTTCTCATTTTAGGCTGAGTCGACCTAAGGGGGAGGGCCACGCCAAGTACAAACGTTCAAATCGGCCAATGGGCGAGACCCAAGAGGGGTTTTTTTTTTGCTGCTCGCAAAACGAAGACGTTTCGCAACAACAACAAAAATCGAATTTCGGTATCGTGTGGTGGATAGGGCCTGACAATCGAAATGTTGCGAGTTCCAATCTTGGGCCATCGCCTCTCCCGAGTCGATAAAATTAGCGACGAAATTGCGAGAAGTGGTTATCCTATGCAGAGAGAGACTGGTCCCCATCATAGGAATGTGGAACATCCCCACCGGCTCATGCGCCATCAACGACAACACGCGCCCCCCCCCCCCCGCCGCCCACAACACTCGGTTATTCGAGCGTGTGGGAAGAGACGCTCCAACGGAGACGTTGACCTTTGACCTTGAAAGATGCACCACGAGAAATAGGGGAGGGGTGGAGCGGAGGAGGGGGGGGGCTCCTCAGTGGTGCGCACTGGCAGGGCAGTGGAGGGGCGGAGGGTGGGAGGGGGGGGGTGAGGGCGGTGGGGGACCAAGGGGCGAGGCGGGGGGGGGGGGGAGGTGGGTTTGGGGGGTTGCGAGGCGAGTGCATCAGTTGGAGGTGTCGGAATGCACGCTGCCCGGCCCCTCGGTGGGAGACGTGACGGAGGAAGGGGTGGTTGCATCCTGCCAGCCGCCGTTAGCCTGCAAGGCCACGCGGGGGATCGGGAGGGGGGGGGCAGAGGGGGCAGAGGGGGCACACACGCGAGTCAGCAGATCGCACGGAACCGCGGACGAGGACGCATGAGCAATGGCGTTCAAAAAAGCATTGCATTCTTTACGCGTAATCTGCGGTCTACGATCGACGTCAATCATTCTCCTTCTTTCATACGCCGTTTCGAAAAAGCATCGGGGCACAATTGAATTTTAAATGTTGCGAGCCATTGGTTGCCGAGCGGAGTAGTCGTCGCCACCAGAGCCCGCGTGGCTGTGTAGGGCAGGCAATTGGTGATGCGCCTAATGGTTTGCACCTCGCCGCCGCGTTCGCTGTTTGGCGAGTACCACTGTCAATACCGATGGGAGTGCTTTATCGAGGGAAGCCTCAAGATTATTTTTCGGGTGCAGACAGATGGGGGTCACGAAAACCCATTCGCTGCACTCGCCTCTCCTGGCCAACGTGCAAGTCCAGCGCATTGGGAGCGTCGCGCGCGTTGTGATCTCTGCTTGATCCACCAACCCCACCTCTAAAGAGCTGGATTACACGGGTCACCACCCCCACCACACCACCACCCCCACCACCACCCCCACCCCCACCACCACCCCCACCCCCACCACCACCCCCACCACCACCACAACAGCCACCCCACGCTGGGCGCACGGCTAACTGCCGCACACCTCTCCGTTCCAGGGTCGGTGGATCGCTCGGAGATCGGTGTTCGACGCCCCCCCCCCCCCCCCCCCACTCGCAGGGCATCTTGGAGGTTGCCGGGGGTTAATCTGCGCAGTGGATTTCGAGGGGAGTAATCTCCTTTGTGGGGTTTCTTATGGTGCTCCGAATTCCCCCTCCCTCTCGCCCACCCCACCCACCCACCCACCCGTGAAAACGACTGAGAAAATAAAGGGAGCCAACCAGGGCAGAACAGGACCCTCCTGTAGAGCTACTCCTGAGGCTCACCGAGACTCTCCTGGATACATAATGAATAGCTATTGGCACGGAGAAAATGTAGAATGCTGAGAAACAAACACATGAACATAAAATTACTCAGCGGGGTCGGCGTTTTATTGCTTGTTTTTTTTTTCTTGCCGACAGCAGTAAAAGTTGTTTTGTTCGTTGTTTTGCGTTTATTTGTCCTTTAGGGGAAGTAAGTCAAGGTCTCTGTGTGTGTGTGAGTGTGTGTATGTGTGTGTATGTGTATGTGTGTGCTCGCTAACAGCACTTGCCCAGAAAGCTTGCGCAGGCTATCGGAGGGAATCTGTGTGTGGGGAGCGGTGGCACAGCGGTTAGCAGACTGCGCTACGAACCCAGTGACCCGAGTTTGAGTCCCCCTCTAAGCCAACAGCAGTGACGATTATCTGAACTGGTCCTGGGCCTCCCCTACATCGATTGCCTGGTGTGTAAACTTGAGCGCTTGGGAGACAAAGGCGGCTGGGCGTGGCCACCCAACCCCTTCGTGTGCTTGCGTGTACATGCAAGCGTGCACGCGTGAGCGTGTACATGCGAGGGTGCACGCGTGAATACGTGAGCGTTTGAATACGTGAGCGTGTATGCGCTAGCCTGTTACGTGGTTGCTTGTGTCTGCGTGTTTGTGTCTCCGTGCGCAAAGCTGCAACGCGGTGTTGGGGGGGGGGGGGTGGTGGGGGAGGGCATCTCTGTCGACGACCTTGAGCCGGGTCGCGGAAATTCCCTCCTGCCGTGGCGATGCCGGCCTATCCGTGGGACAAGCGCCACCGCTGACTTCCGCACAAAGCGCTACTCGGCCTATAAACCCTCGAGCGGCCCGCGGGCCCCAGTCGCCCACCGGCATCGTCCGGTCGCGAGTCAACAGCTCTAACCGCAGCCTCCCTAGCGACACGTAAAGCACGCGGACTTCGCCGGCTCTCGCGTCCGCGCCTTCGCCCGCCCGCCCTTCCAGCAGCGCACCTCGACTTTATCAGCGCAGCCGCAGCGCTCGCGCGGGAGGGCCCCGGCCGCTTCCTGCGCCAGGAATAATGAAGATTTTATTGCGGCTGTCCCATCATCTGCGGCGAGGGTTTGTCAAGCAAGCCGCCGGTGCCCTCTTATCGCGGCGGAAGGCTGCTCTGGCGTATCGCCGCGGAGCCAAATTGCCTCCTCTGCTCTCAAAAAAAATAAAAACCCGGATCCTTTTTCGTCTCGAATAAAATATGCTTGGCGCACGCAGCTTGCGAATCGTTTCGGGGGAGTCAGTGGAGGCGTGCGAATGAACACGGCGGCGGCGGTGGCATTTTGTATTTGCAAATGTATGGAACGCTCCGCGCAGAAGCCCCGGCGGCAGAAGAGGAATTCGAAATGAAGAGAGCGGCAGCGGCGGAGGCCTCGTCTCAATTGGTGCTCTGTGATGAAGTGATAATAACGGTGCGTTTAAGCGTGTGGTCCTGTCACGGAAACCCGCGCTGGCCGGGGCCGGCGTGGTGAAGTACGGCTCGGGAACTCGCACAACCCCTGACGAGGCACAGGAAGGCCTTCAGTCATTCAGCAGTTGATTTGGGAAGGGGCTGTAGTAAATTAGCGCTATTCATTTTACAGCTAATCATATTGAAATAATATCATAACATTACCGCGTATGATTAATATGTGTATTAATGCACACTTATAATGACACCTGATAGGTTAGAACACCATGTAATTTTTACTTCATTATTGAAAAAAATAAATGGAATGTTAATATTCAGTAAAGTATGAATAATACTTTTATCAATTCCAAGTGCATAATAATAATAATACCACGGCAATAAACTAATAATACTGTCAGTGATGGACAACTGTAACACCGATAATAAAACGGAATAATAAAAAAATAGAACGGCGATAATTCTGTAATGATAGCACTGCGATACGAAACCCGCGATATCACTGCTACCGCTCCTAATATAATAATGACATTTTCAACAAAGCGCAGAGCCGTAATGTGAATTTTTTTGTGAATTAAGGGAGAGAATTAGGGGTAGGTTTATAATCTCGGTGAGATGAATAATTGAATTTTTAACGAGCAGAGGGGTAATTATTTTAACAATTTATCATAAAGTGGGTTGAACATCAAATTAGTTTGATTAGAAAGCAAAATACAGTAATGAGAAAATGTAAGATAAATTACTTCCCCTTCCTTATCGTCCGCCGCCTCAATTGTGCAGGGACTGAGCCTGACCTTGGAGCTTCTGCCATGACCTGCACGAGCCTCCGGCTAAAACGCGGCGTGGATTTCCCTGGATTGGAGCCGCGCTTGCCTTGCCTGGGCTCAACTTAAGCTGACAGCACAACAATGATTACATGGAAATGTACTGGAATTTTCTCAGCTTTTTACAAATATTTTCCCTACTACCCTCTTTCTCCCATTAAATTTTTTTTCTCTCCCAAATGTGTGTTTTATTTTGCATGTTCCTTGCTTTTTAAACGTTTGTCTACCAGGCATGGCAGCGGGATGTATGAAATACAACGATAACGACGACGGTTGATAATAATTGATGATGATGATAATTTAATAATGAATAGAGGACGTACATTTGTATGCATGAGTTTTAAGTTATACATTTATAAATATATATGTAGGTCAGCTTTCCGCAGATGTTTGGATTTTCTTTCTCGTGAACTAATTTTAATACTTGAGTAGCAAGGCTTGATTTGAATTCAACCAGAGTAGACTCACAGAGTCTCAAAATCCGCTTTGGATGTCTTTAGCCAAAAGATGTTGCGTGTTTGCGTGCGGGGAGCGGTAGTGTAGCGGTTAGTGCGCTGCGCTACAAACCTAGCAACCCAGGGTTCGATTCCCACTCACGGCCAACACCAGTGACGATTATCTGAAACGGTCCTGGGCCTCCCCTAGGTCGACTCAGCCTCGTATCAGTATCTGGTGTGGTGCGTAAACATCGCCACTGGGGAGACAAAGGCGGTGGGGCGTGGTGCTGGCCACCCCACCCCCTCGTGTGACGTGCCGGCCTTCATAGGTGCTCGGCTAACAGTCACTTGCCCCAACAGTCTGTGAAGGCTATACAGGGGATCTTTGTCTTTGTTGTATTTTGTGTGCGAGCAGAAACGGTACATTTTGTCTCCCGCAAAGAAGCCCTCCCCCACTCACACAAGCACTGCGGGTCACTCGTCTTCATTGGCAGACCTGAGCCAGTAGGTGGACATTCCACATTCCTATGACGGAGACCAGTCTATCGGGAGCTCATCTTCAATCTATATTGAAAAAAACTCGTTTCTTTAGAACTGCTTTTTTGTGATGAGTTTGTCGTCCTTCCCCCGCACCTCTGATTAGCACTCCGACCACGTCCGCTGATGCCACCGTACTCCTGCCATAGCTTCCTCCCGTCGCACAGATCCCAAAGCTTCTCTGGAACTCCCACCCAACATTCCGCCGCGCTCCCCTGGCCGCCAGCAGTTTGTCAAACATCGCAAACTCTCCGTCACTCGAAGAGGCTCAGGCCGTAAACGTCGAGAGTACAGAACCAGAAGATCATGGCCGATCCTGCACCGTGCCACAAACCCCTAAGGTGATGCCTCAAGTCAGGGCCGTCCATAGCGGGGAGTTGCGGGGCCTGAGACAAATCACAACGCCTGGGATCCCTGCCCCCCCCCCACCCCGACGCCTTCAAACTAACACCGTGATATCGAAATGTGGGGACCCCCCCCAAAGCGAGGGGCCCGGGGCACCCGCCCTGATTTACCGTGTGCCTTAAGGACAGCTCTTCCTGAAGTCCATAATTCCGTTCAGGAAAAACGCGCCATCAATGGATGGATGCTGAGAGTCGTTGCCACTGAACGTTGCTCCACCTCAACCGTACCGAGCTAAAAAACTCGGTGGACGAACCGACCACAGACTTTCCTGGCTTCCACCACCAGCGGAGACGCTGGACCGCATTAAACCGTATCTGTGGGCAAGGCCTACATAAGTGGTGAGATGTTAACTCCCCTCGCCTGGTACACAGGAGGTCGTGGGTTCGATCCTGACCCCTGACACCTGTATATT